GTACTTGGGTACACTACAGTACTACGATACTTCCATAATAATGTGTGTTTACTGTACCGCCCTTTTTTTGAATAAGTTCACAGGATTGCGATGTCTTGCGAACATCGTGTGCCACGATTCAAACACCGACGGAGTATCGCTCTRAACATGCGATCGTTCCTAAATTGTACCACTATTCCATTTTTAGTCATGCATTCCGGCGTGTTTGAAAAAAAGTGAGAAGAATAGTACGAATATTAGTACGAGTAGCAAGCGAGTCGGATGGCTTGCTTTCATTTAAGGTCCTTGGCGATTTCTGCGGTTACCCGGAGACAAAAACGGCGCGTGGGAAGTCCGTGACGGAAAACAGCGGTTCCCGTTCACACCTGCTGTCGGTTCGTATCGTACGGTGCAACGTAATGTCCYGTGTACAACTACGTACCGGTACATCATGATCTTAATTTTAAATTTTACAACCTATCTAGTCCGGGTACGTACGGGTACGAGTAACGTACAGTACTTCACCTGWCTCGTACACTGAACTTTAAAWCCGATACTATGCACGAACTCCGTCAAAGAAAGGTTCGCCGCGCGTAAGTCCATCTTTGCACGGTAGACAAGTTCTCTATTTTTAAGGTGAATTTTGAGAGATACTACGACAACCCACCGTACMGGACCGCTGGTGTGGGCCACATGGACAGCGACGGATTTGACGCCAAAAATGATAGCAGGGATGCGAACGAACGAATATTTCCGGCATCTCTCTCTCCCTCTTTCAATGCTACGAGCATTCGTACTACAGTAGAATATATCCAGCGGCTCAGCCATAGAAATTTCTTYGAGTTGTACTTCTTCGTCTTGTAACACAGAAGCTGATAGATAAAGAGTCTGGTTACCTAGCAGCTGTAGAAGCATTTCWGGAAACAACCAGGAGTAAAGCAGACCAAGCAAAGAGCCCCGTTTCTTATTTGCCCATACCCATCACTACCTGGGGATCCGGTCGTTTCTCGATTTCTTGCAGGGTTCTCCATCCACGAATGGATGAAGTTTGTTTTTGTGGCGAAGTCGAAGAATCATAAATCATCGAAGAAGTAACAAAAGCAGGCGTTAGCGATTAGCAATCAAGGATCACCGAACGCGCACAAATTCAAAGCCGAAATTTAGACGAACGTTGGACTCGAATCACCAACCCGAATTCAATCAACAAAAGGAATCAACCATCGGGATCAATCTGATCAAATCGAATTCGTGGTCGATCGGAGGGGGACAGAGCCGAAAGAAACGGAGAAACCGCATCGACAGAACAATTGAAATCAGCTTTAGATACCTGGCGCAATGGAGACGGCGACAGCAACGACATCCGACCACAACAATGCGTTGGACACGATCAATACCGCAATGTCCAATACGGATGCRCAATCGGTTCAGAGCGGGGCTACCCAACCGCACTCTCCATCCCGAACCGCCATTACTCCGTTGAGTTTGTCGCCGGCCTCGCACAGCAAAGCACCCACTAAAATCCAGGATAACGCAATCGGGAAGATTGATGCTATACCGCGATGCAGATCACAGCAGCAGAAGCAGCACGGAGATTTATCATTGGGAACCATCTTGGATCAGCAACAGCAACAAGAGGCGTTGAATCTCAGCTATCAACAGCATCGGCAATCAAGCAACCCGGTTTCGGACGACGATCATACCGAACCGTCTTCGTCCGCCAACACAGGAGAAAATAATGTATCAATGATATCCGCTAACAACAATGGCGCTGTCGGGAAAGGTTATACTCGATCCGACATGAACATTGGTGCCACATCAACCTTTGGCAGATTGGTCAAATCTGCTGCAAAAGTGAGTTTATCTGATTAGGCTATGATCGGATTAGATGGCCTTGATATGATTTKCCTTGGCTTGGCTTGTTTGATTGCTGTGTTTACCCTTTGTTGCAGCACGATGCACAACTCCACACCGTACACGACTTGCTTATATTCKGTGCGCCTCATTGATTCTTGGCTTATTTGTTATTTCGTTCTAAAACTGCAGAGTATCAACAACCGTAATCCAACGACGACGACCGACAGAAAAGAGTCGGTTGACGAAGAAGGGGTCATCCAAGGTGTCTTGATTTATGGGTATCTACAAAAGCTTAATCGAAACGGCAAATGGCAAACTCGATGGTTCGAAACCGATGGAGAGTGTCTGACGTATTTCAAGTCKAGCAAACGCATCAAACTGCTAGCATCCCTGGACCTCGCCAAGGTGGGATCGATCATAATCAACAAAGAAGATGAAAACGGCTGTGGCTTTACAATCAACATTGCAAAACGACCATACCATTTGCGAGCAGATTCTAAAACAGCGATGAATGACTGGGTGATTACACTAAACCGTGTAAAAGAGGCCCGCATGCAAGAAGGAAATGTCAAATTGGTCATGCCCAACAACTTTCAAACGAATCAACCTCCTATCGATCTGTTGGACGATCAGAATTTTACTACTCCTCGAGTTGTAGTTGTTGCCAATCGTCAGCGAACTCATGCCGTGGAAGACGATTTCCATTCCTGGGAAGCCATTGCTACCATKGATGACGACAATCATGGAATGAACCAAAACTCGACTGGGGGTGGGTCGATCGCCCGCTGGCAGAAACCCAAAACTTCTATCGCTAACCTCGCAAGCAAGATTTTGCGATGGGCCCGGAGCATTAGACAATACCATTGTTCCGCGGATGCCGAGAACCAAGTCATCATTCTAGACCACAACTTGTCTGCCGAACCATCAACGGTYACTGCAACCAAGTCCGGTTCTACGAATCAATCTCCACAGAATGTCGTCAAYGCGGTGCCTACGGCCGACCTTTTGGATACCGGTGGTATCGATTCGAGGAACAACAATTCTGTTTTACGGAAGGGCAACCAAGTTCAAGACAGTAGAGGTGGTCGAAAAGCCATCGTTGTCGACGACGACGATGATGAGAATGGTGCGAGGTTCCTTTCCTAGTCTATTTGAGATCAATGTTACGAAGACGAGCAATGTATTTTCCACTCTCATTCGAGATCTCTCCAGCGCGTTAGCCAGCTAGCCAACAAGTCAAATCCCAATACCACTTGTCTATTCTAACATATTTGCGTCCACAAAACACCCTGCAACGCAGCTAATTCTCTCCTTTATTTTCATACGAACACAAACCCTATGTTGTCTGAGAACACCCAGCTCAGACACCAGCATTATGAAAGCGAAGCAATTCACCATTCCCATTGAGCTTCGATGCGCGTGAAATGTGCTTCTTTCTTTTTCTACATGCCTTTTTCATGTTATATGTGAATATTCTTTGAAATCATTACTTGTATCATTGRAATTATTACTTTTATCGACCAAYCGAAGTGGTGCTTCCTCTACTACCACCGTACTATCCTGTTCATTTTGCAATGGACCTTTTGTACGACGTCAAAGTAACGGACGAAGCAGGCATCAACAAGCCCTCGATCGAAGTAAATATATATATATAATATCATTTAATTCTAATAGATTTATTTTGTTTTACGAGGCAAACGAGGGCTCTTGCATGCTTTCTATGTTGCTAACAGGTAGTTTTTCTCTTTCCTGAAGATCGCTCGCATCGTGTTTGTAGTAGCAGTTCTCTGTTACCAAATACAAAGATTAATTTGTCGAAAGTCTGTAGAGGTCCAATGCCATCTCRGTATTTTGCACATGGTCGATGAGATACAAATCAAGATATGGAATTACTATCAGTGAAAGACGAGRGTCATACAGTGCGACATGAGCAAGTGCGTATTTCTTCCGAATCTTGATACAATTGGTTGATTGACCTTGCAATTGTAATTCTTATAATGATTTCGGTGTGRAGTGAGCAAGCAATAGTTGGTCCTACTAGCCGTATCCACGTTCAATTTCGAGAGAGCACATTGCTATCCAAATGTTTTTAATGCATGGAAAGAAGATATCATAAACCAAAGAATTACTCTTATGTGCATCGTATCAATACCCTGATAGATGATCATACAAAAAATGGCATCAATATCCCTTCGCGGTCTCGAAAGCAAGCTTAAGCTACCAGTTCCGACGGATGTTCTTTTCGGCCAACTTCCTCTGCCCCGTGGTTATCAAGTTCCATGTTCATCCCGCGGGGATTGAGCTGGGATTCTACCTGTCCCGTTTGAATCTGCGTACTCGGAACAGGTTCCACCTTTGACAAAATATCCAAAAGCTGGACCTTCGTCTTTTCAAGATATTCGGGTGAATTAAGATTCTCCATATTGCTCACCGGAAGATTAAGGCGGTAATCCGGTCCAAAGTACTCAAAGTAGTCATTGAAGGGAAGTTCGTCTTTTACTTCTTCCCCTGTTAAGACCGAAGTTTCGTACGTCCAGCATCTCGGTACATTGCGTAGCGTGTACCCTCCACCTCCCAGAACCAACATGGGTACCCCAAAGCTCCGGACGTACTTTACGCAGTCTGCGTGTCCCTTTACAGATAAATTAAAGCACCCCAAGCGATCTCCAGACAATGAGTCTGCTCCACATTGTAAGACAATTGCACCGGGGGCRAACATTTCCATGATCTTTCCGATAACAGGGCGGAAGACGCTTCTATAGGCCTTGTCGTCCATCCCATCATTCAAGGGGAAGTTGATAGAGTAATTCTTCCCTTCTGCATGTCCATAATCAAAGACGTCACCAGTTCCGGGAAAATATTCCCCAAATTTGTGAAAAGAGCAGGTCATTACACGGTTTGTAGAGTAGAATGCCTCCTCAACTCCATCTCCGTGATGAATATCAATGTCGATGTAGAGAACCCGCTCGTGTTTTTTGAGTAGCTCAAGAATTGCAAGAACGCAATCATTGACGTAGCAAAACCCAGAGGCTTCTGCTTTTTTAGCATGATGGAGCCCCCCTGCCCAGTTAATGACAATGTCCGCGGCGTCTTCGTTCAGTCGCGCTGCTCCGCCAATCGATCCCGAGGTGTATAGCTGGCAAAACTCATAAATTCCATCGAAAACAGGACAATCCTCTCCAACGTTGAATCGCTGCAATTGTCTGTTGTAGTCCTGCATGTTGTCCGGCGTGATAACTTTTAGAAAATTGATGTAGTCGTCAGAATGGAAACGTGTCATAGCGGTGGGAGAAATTAAACGAGGTCGAAAAACTTCCATCTTTCGATATAGACCATAATTCACAACTAAGTTGTGGGTCATGCGCACGCGATGAGGCTTCATCGGATGGCCTGAGAAGCGATGACGAGCAATTAGTTAGAGTCGGAATGTTTGAGTCAAAACACACAGCCACATGATGGCCAAAACGGTTCCCTTCCGGGATGTTGCCATCATATTGCTTACCTTGGCCGTAGTGGTAGTTGCCTACCTCGGCATCATAGAAATACGAGACTCGTCTGCTTTCGGTCATGGTCTTGCTGAGACACTGCTACGAAAGACAGGAATCAGTGCAGACTGTGGCGGTGTATTGTCTCTACAAGTCCAGCTTAGCATGTACGGTATCCTGAACTCGATCTGGAAAGAGGAGGTGTTGAAAATAACCTTGCTATGGCCGGCAATTGGCACCTACCGGTACGGATGTCATCAACAAGCAAGCGAGCGAAAACAGATTAAGCAGTAGTAATAAAAATAAAGTACGAGTTGTACGGTGCGGTACGGGTAGMACCTCCCGAAGGAAGAAAAAGTAGCATGAACGCGCGCCGTGCATTTTTCCAATAGGCGCTATCGTTATTTGGACGATGGCCAATACAGTACGTACGGTACGTACGAGTACCGTACAGTATTATGAATATCATGACAATTGATCGGCACACTAATACAATGGTTCCCATCGTTAATTTAATGATGCCATCATTAGCCTAGAAGAACACAGTACAAAATCTACRGAGGTAGTTTTCAAATATTCTGGTGGGGCAGCAGAACTAATTCTGGTGCTTCTTCTTGTTTCTCAGAAGACAAGTCATTTCTAAACCAGCATGCTGAAAGTATTATTGGGGAGCAACACTCACCAGTGGATTTTTTTCTTCTGATAAAATTATTGATGGCATAATTAAATTGATGATGGGAATCACGACTGCTGGATAAGAACAAGAAGCAACTAAACCATTTTTTTGTTGTCCACCAGTAACCAGTAGGGAAACAAATTATTAGACCCAAAGACTTCTACTGTGGCTTACAACTTCTGTWGTAGCATTGCACAACTTACTCTTGTAATTTTTCCTAGTAACCAGAGTCTGTGCATTATGTCTGTGGGTACTAGTGACTGGTGCACCTTTAACAGTTCCTGCCCAACAAGTTGCAGACACAACTAAGCCCTCTGGAGCATCTGCTGGACCATAATTTTCTTCTACCTGTTTTTCAACTATGTTTTCCACAATATTTTCTGGAACTGGGAGGAACTTTGTGTGCTTGAACAAGAAGTTCCATGCATAGTTACATAACATCTRTTTTAACATCTCAAAATGGTGTAATCTTGTGTTACAAGCAASCACCATCCTCTCCTCCTGTTCTTTGTTCTGTGTGACTTCTCATGAGGCCATGACGGCAATCTGTAGATGAATTCAATACAAAGCTCTGCAATGTGCAGGTCAAAGTGGTGGTATAACTGGTTAGCTCATGTTAGTCTCTACTTCTACTAGCTGACCGTCAACACAACACACACTCATCCTCTATCTAGTATTTCTGAACCAAGRAATATGTAATAATGTACTTACCTGATACTGTTGATAATATCTACTAACCCAATCCTACCGTACTAGTAGTAATAGTTTTCAGGTAACCAGATCAATTTTATATGAAACCTATACAACTTTTGTGTACACCTACAAGGACATGACATGTGTGAAACCAGCDCACACTCTTACCTGCCATTCCTTTTCCTTGGCTGATGTACAAACTTTTTATCCATACCAATAATTTTCTGGCATGTTGCTGGTCCTTTCCATGGGTCACAGTAGGTTTTGTACGGCATTCRAAATCTTGTAAGAATATTTCCCMCCAGCAAAATCAAGCATAAGGTGGTCTTTGTACTACTGTACTTCATAAATCCAAAGTATCAAAGTACTTGTCCAACATTGCTGTCTGTATCTAAGAACAATATGCACCTTCATTTGGAAAGAACTTCYGTGTTATCTGAGCATCCCTGTCCCGACTCCACTAGGTTTCATCCATCTCCATTTTCAAAATTCAAACCCTTTCTCAAAAACATCCTGCAGGTTACTGGACCATTTGAGGAACTCTTCCATGCCCAATATAAGTTCTAGCCTTTATACAYATTCCTTGATCTTGTCTTCATCTTGACAAAACCTCAGAAGCTCACGACYSTCCTCTGACAATAAACAGAGAATCTGCAGTAATATCATGTTGCTGAAGTGGTTGCACTCCTTCTTTGTATTGTGGATAGACTTGGAAAAAATAGCTCTGAAAAAAACAAATTCTGACTGCCTCTGAAGTGATGTGCCATAATGGCTGGCTATTGCATCCATACCATCCAGGAGCTTCTTTGATGTTCCTAGAAAAACATCAYGGAAGGTTTCCACCACTCTTTTGACACAGCCTAATTGGTGCATATGAAGTCTGTCCCCCAGGGAAGTGAGGTGGATGCTGTGCAAATTCACACCAAAGTCAAGGTCGTGGTAGGCATTTCTGCATTGGATGCAATGGTGGGAAATGTTTGGCAATGTCATTCAAGGGATACACCTTCAGGAACAGTTGACTCAGTGAAATCTGAAGGATGCCACAACCTTGCTGTTATTGCCATKGGGTRTTCTTTTCCTCCTCTTGTTCCAAGGACATTCTTTGGTATTGATGTTGRTATTATTGTCAGACCTGTCTGTGTCCTTCCCAGTGACAGCTTTTGTAATTTCCAACTCATTCAAAACAGAGGCATTCAACACATTTACCTTTGCATCAATTCCTWTGGGGTGGGGACAGTTGCAATGTCTGCRTATCTTTTTTGTATTTGCAGAAGTATAATGGCCACAGAGCTTGTCATGCTGTCCAGTGTCATCAATGAAAAATGCTACAGAAAACTTCATTTTGATGTTATAAAGCTTCCAACTCCATGGACAGTTGTGCCACCAAATATCATGGGAGGACTTGTATGCTTATCTGAACAAAGAAAATGTGGCTTGTAAACCATCATGGAGGTTATTGACTTTATCTAGTACTGGCAGATTGCTATTTCCTTGGGGGTGAAAATATATTGTCTCCCATGGGTTGGGTCTGGTGGAACATGTTAGGTTGCTAAACATCCCAAGCATCATTTTCAGAGGGCATAGGGTTGTGCTTCTGTGCCTATTGGTTGCAATACCATCCACATAAAAAACAATTGGAACTGGGATCTTGGGGTTATTTTGGACACACTTCTCCTTCAATKTTTCCATCCACCTTTCCCTGTGATGGAGTTTGCAAATAAGAGTTCTTCTGTCAATTTAGAGTCACAGTGGGAAGAGCTAGTTTTTTTTGTTGGGGAACAAGAGATTCTCTTCCTCCATTAAAGACAGATTGGTAAGGAGAGAATGCAATGCACATTGGAAGGACCTAATATAGATTTGTTTCTGACCAACATTGTTGCTGGATTGCCAGTCAATAAGTACATCCATGTTGTGGTCTCTTGTTTGCAGGGGGGGRAACAAACCTTGCCTCAAACAGGGTTGTAATTTTGTTCATGCTTGCTTTGTCATGAGTGGCTTTGATAGCATCAAAGCTGGGCATGTCATCATTGAGATCTGAATTAACATTCATTTCAAAATTGATCAGGCTCTGGTCAACTTCTTCCACAGAGGGATTATACATCACTTGATCATTAAGATTTTCCAGCATTCYGCTTGGGGGTCCATGATTGATATTGGTTAGGAAAAATTGTTTTCTACTAACATCCTCATTGTCCTTCCTAAGTTTGTAAAGAGAAGCGCTGAAATTGTTGACTCTGTCCCCACAAAAGAGTAAAATAGTCAAAACATACCCAACTCTTGGCAAGATGAGACAGAAGTTTGGYCGATGTGATGGCTCCTGTTTTTTGTTCCATTYGGCRCTATATAATAMAGGATGCTGGGTCCTCCTATCCCAGGACCCATGAAAGTTTTGACAGAAAAAGTTGAGCTTAKGTGGAGCCATGTTGGCTATCAACAWATGGGAAACAAGAGGGAAACATGTAGGAATGTGATGATGAGGAAAAGCAAARTGTTTTCAGTTCAGGAAGTAATTCTCAGGCATRCATCAYTGGGTTGGGTGAGATCAAGGTTAAGTGAGTACCAAATTAAGAAAACATGTTCTCAGAAAASAAAATAAAAATAGAAGTTTGATSTGTTGATTCTTCAATAAAAATCTAAAGGTAGGACYAGAAAATTTGATGGTTGTGACCACATGAAATGCAAATTACGCTTGATCTGATTTGTGTGACCTACATCATGTACCTGGTTCTATGCTGTGGCRTACTGCTGGTGAGCTAATTTTTGGAAATGACTCAATGGAATTCATATTTGAAAGGCTGGATTCATGATTGAATRACCTTGAACCATTCTTTTTTAAGAAGAATCAATCTCAATTTAGTAAACTAAACTACYGGTGGGAGGGTAGCACACCACTATCTCATCAACTGCTCCCTTAAGAACTGGGATGGTGGAAGCAGCTTTAGTCAAGTACTTGATACTTGTAGCAATTGTATCTTGATGCTCCCTGCTTGAATTGATCTTTGATACTATTTATTGTGATTGATAGTCTTGGGGCATATCTCCTGTACATCATTCCATTACACCAAGCACTGTTGATTGCTTGTACTGAAGTATTCAGTATTAAGATCAATAATACCATCTSGCAACACCATGATGAAATTGTGTGTACCATTCTGATCTTCAACACATTGTTGTGTGAATGGCACAAATAGCACAATCCGGGCCCAATCTAYTGGTTGGCTGAGAAACATGCTGCATAGTGTTTTGTACTCCTCCAGGAAGAATGTAGAAACATTTTTAGAAACTTTTTGCATAGAGTTTCACTACTAGTAGTAGTAATTCTAAGTTCAGTTTGCATTCATTTCAGCTGTTTTGTTTTGGTTAACACCAGTAATACTCTTCTCAACTGGTCCTTTGGTCAACACATACACTCAGTTTTTGATACTCSTMYKATGAWGAAGGCCACATGGATTTGTTTGTCTTTGTGAGCTTTGGCAGTCAACTTTGGCTGAAAGTGGAGGTTGACTGGCCACATTGCCTCCTGCAACCAGAGTGATTCAGCAGCTGTTGTTGTTTGGAGGGTAAGAACCACAGACAAGAACATTCTTGCATGGGACCAAATCTAAGGGKCACTTGACCTCCAGCAAGATATGAAATACTCCTGCTTAATGTCAACCCACTCTTGTCAAGATTAACTATGAAATGATCTTATTTGGAGGGAACAGAAGTTCATATTTACCTTCTTTGCCATCCAACAAATCCAGGGTCAAGAAGATTACAACAAATAGTATCAAAGAAAGTGCCTATCTTGTTGTACATTGTTCAAAGTGTTCTTTGCTCCTCCATTTTTGATTCCATCTTTAATATACCAGTGACAAGAATAATAGTAATAATCTTGTTGTATACTATTTTGTACAGCCTTTTTAACAGCAAATCCTGGTCCTTCAGTAGTGCCGGTCCTCCTTCAAGGCATTGGACAGCACTTGGATCAGGTTGGTTCTTTGGTTGATTATTTGGGCTGGTGTTAAGCTGTTGTTGTTTTGGTTCATTGTTTKGGCTGATGTTCATATCTGCAAAGCCATCACACAAATAAGAGCAGTCTCAATCTTAGTGAGAAGATGAGGCTTTGGGCCCTTTTGGGGAACAAATCATCCTCTCCSAATCCTAGGTATCTGCATACAGTATCAGCCTTTAGACTTTCTTTGTAAATTATGTTCACTTTTTGTGCAATTTGGGCAACAGACAAATGCATTCTTTGCTCCAGAAAATTTGCTT